GGCTCCTGCGGGAGCAGACACTGCTGCGGCAGTGGGGGAACACAGATAGGCTCCTGCGGGAGCAGACACTGCTGTGGCAGTGAGGAAATACAGAAAAGGCTCCTGCGGGAGCAGACACTGCTGCGGCAGTGGGGAAATACAGATGAGGTTTGGTGGCATAGGTAGGGCATGGCTGTGGACAGACAGTAGGATGAGCGGGCATGGGGAAATGGGGGTAGGGAAAGTAGCCGCCAGAACCACCTGCGGAGGCAAGCTCACGCTTGGAACGGCTCAGGGGGCCCTCACGCTTTGGTCGGTCCCGGGGGTGGGAGAAACATAGGGAAGGTGAGATGAGGTGGGGTGATATGATAGGTGAGGATAACTAGGCATGCCGTGTCTACACTGGATGCGAGCAGTGCGACGAAATACTATAGAAACCATTATAATTGGAGACTGTCTGCACTGGATGCGACACGACAGTAAACTGATGCCTCGTTCTATTTATGACGCATCAAATTTATTTATTTTAACACTCACTTTGTCACGTCCAATGCAGACCGACCTCAGCAGTTAACTCCACATCTGAGCCGCTTTCATCAGAAGCCTGTGTGTTGCCAGATGTTGAGAGGGTTCTTGCCATCATGGACCGCAACCCAGTGCACGTTGGCTTTAAAGCAGGGCACGCTCGTGCATTCTTAACACACTCTGAGGTGTGGGTGAGCTCATTTAGAATGTCTGTAACGAGCCGATTTAGTGTATGAATATAGAAGCCCTATGACTACCATCATTTGAATGATCATGAAATTATCGTACATTATGGGATATATACTTTTTTTTTTTATATTAAATTAACTATTTGCATGTGTAGTTTGGTGCATGTTCATTTTGTATTGATACCTGGTTCAGACACTTTGACTGACCATTCTATGATAATCTTCGGTTATTTTGGTCATAGATGCCTACGCCCTTGCCTATTTTCCGCAAATTTATTTGCAGACTCCTGTATTCACGTTGTGTAATACAAAGACTGAGATGAAGACTTTTTTTTATTTTTTATATAGACTCCATATTTTCTTGCTTTATAAAGGTTTTCATTGCACAAACTAATTTATCATCTGAAACGTCCCAAAAAAGGCTGGGTCGTCTCGGACGCAAAGGCAGCTTTTCCCACCTTTTGACCACAAGATGTCGTTAGTGTGCACAGTCTCGAAAAGCTTCGAGTAATGCACCTTTTTACGGTTGGGGGGGGGGGGAAAGCCTCGGTGCTTCGCAAAACTTCATTTTTCCATCACCAAAAATCGTATGTCTGGCAACACTGCATTTTTACCAATAGACATGTTTATACCGGTAAGGCTAATTTTGCAGTTATGTGCGATTCACTTGCGCACTGTTGTAAGGATATTTACTTTGCACGCTCTTCATATTACGGACCTAAAAAAACAACAGGAAATGTACTCACTTGATTGTTGTCCTGCGGCAAAACACGAGGGCAGTTGCGTTTTAGATCAAATCTGAGTGAGCGTGTCAGTAAATGGTGAATATTTCCATAAATGAATTGATCCTACCAGAAGAATTGCGTAGAATTGATTGTCTGTTCAATCTGTATCATCAGTAAGGTTTTATACATGCACAGTAAGGCGAATGTAACACTTTCAGACATTTCAGTGTGGATGATAAACATTTGTTGGGAAAAAAAAAAAACGTTTGCTTCGTGGTTTCAAAATGGCACCAAGATCCGTTTATGTCATAACGTCGTTTAACAAATGTTTGCCACGAAAACCTGCCTTTAGCGACTTCACCTGAAAATTAATTAATTTGCAACACGGTCTACGCCGTTCGTGGAGGAAGCCTTGAGCTAGCGTCTGCTGGGAGAGCTGGAGGCCCGGCTGCGTATGGCCGGAAGAGCCGCAGTGAAAGGCTGATCCGCAGCGGGAAGCGAGTGTGAGATCTGGGGTGCGGCCCAGGCTCGTTGAAGAACTGCTGCCGCTATGACCCAGCGCTTCGAGGAGAGCCGGGTCTTGTGCGGGACGATGGTAGTGTCGAGCGAGGCGAGCTCGGGGATTTGCACGGTCTATTGGCCAGAGCGTGTGGCTTGACGAGAAGAGCAGCGGCCGTGATGACGCCGGGTGCCCGGCGGCCGTGTCTGGCGGAGAAGGAGTGATCATGGGGCCGGCTAATTGCGGCGGAGGATCTGAATCCCCAGTATAGGTCTTTTCGTTGGCCGGGAAATTGGTTCTGTGGTAAAGAAGCAAAAGGAGCAAACCGAATGCTGAAAGTCGAGAGATAATAAAGGTAGGGTGTACTTGGTTATTTATGGGAGTTTTCTCTTGCGCTGATTGGATAAATGGTGTAATCACTAATGATGAACTGGCCGTGTTAATTATCTGTGCGTGCTCCTCCCGAAATTTGTTTGTAAACATCACATTGTGAAATTAATACATTTTAAAGAAAGATTGATTCAATTCACACTAAAATTCTATCTGATTAGCCATTGAATTCATATGCTCATCATGTTTCCGTACCTGTTATGTGAGATATGACTGACATTTATAGAGGAAATAATGTCTATGTAAGGACCAAGGCCTCTGAGGGTTAAATGGCTTTGATTCAGACTCAGTATTCTCAGATGAAAAGGCCCTGAAAAGTGTTTTCTAGCAAGTGCTAATGGATTCTTAAAATTCTCTCATCACTGCTGGTGTCCAGAGTGCCGGCGTCCATGACGGCTGGTGATGTGCTTTGTTTGACAGAAACCTGGCTAAAACTCTCACACCCCTGGACTGTCTGTGTGTATGTGTTTTGCTCCCCATGTGCTCTCTGTTACCCAGTTTCTGTCTCACATGTGTGATTGTATTTTTTGGTTTTGGTGTGTCTCATCTATCACCCCTCGTTAAGCCCTGTATTTAAAGTGTTGTCTGTCCCGTGTTTCCTTTGTTAACGTCATTCCTATGTGCTACGTGTGTGTTCCTTCCTGCCCTGTGTCACCACTTGTTTTGGATTAATAAAGACTGTTCTTTGTGAATTCTCCGACATCTCCACACTCCTTCACTCCAACACAGTAGACACCGTGACAAAAACCAGATGATTACATTATTTTAAACGAGTCTACCCCGCAAGATTACTGTTATAAACATGAGCCATGTCCAAAAGGTAAAGGGGGAGGTGTTGCTTCAATTTATAACAATATTTTCAGTATTTCTCAGAGGGCGGGCTTCAAGTATAACTCATTTGAAGTAATGGTGCTTCATATAACATTATCTAGAGAAACAAGTTTTAATGATAAATCCACTGTGATGTTTGTACTGACTACTGTATACAGGCCACCATTGCACCATACATACTTTATTAAAGAATTTGCTGATTTTCTATCAGAGTTAGTGCTAGCTGCAGATAAAGTCTTAATTGTTGGTGATTTTAATTTCCATGTTGATAATGAAAAAGATGCATTGGGATCAGCATTCATAGACATTTTGAACTCTATTTTTAACAGACAGACCTCAGTTTGTGAGAGTTAGAAATCACACCACCAGTATCATCTCTCTGAGCACTGGCTCCCCTCTGGGCTGCGTCCTGAGCCCATTGCTATTCACCAAGATGACCCATGACTGCCGTGCCAGGTTCAGTACAAACCATGTTGTGAAGTATGTGAATGACACGACAGTGGTGGGCCTCATTCAGGATCACAGCGAACAGCCTATAGGGAGGAGGTGAGACAGCGTGTGGACTGTTGCAAAATAAATAACTTGCTTGTTGATTTCAGGAAAAAACAGCACAGGCAGACACCACTCATCAATGACACTGCGGTGGAAGTAGTCAGTAGTATCACGTTTTTGGGTGTGCAGATCACAGATAGCTTGGCATGGACTGTTAACACCACCTCTCTGGTGAAGAGAGCACAGCAGCGTCTTTTTTGTCTGTGTCAGATGAGAAGAGCACACATTCCCTCTCCCATCCTCAGTACTGTCTACAAAGATATTATAGAGAGCATATTGACCAGCTGCATCTCTATATGGTCTGGGGACTGTAAAGCTCCCCTACTGGAGGTCTGTATGGAGGGTGGTGAGGACAGCGGAAAAGATCATTGGCTCTTCACTGCCTTCCATCCAGGACCTTGCACACAAACACTGTCTGACTCGTGCTCAAAACATTGCAAAAGACCCTACCCATCCTCATTATGGACTGTTAACGCTGCTGCCCTCTGGAAAAAGGTTTCGCAGCATTCGGTGCAGAACAGTAAGGTTCTGTAATAGCTTTTTCCCACAAGCTATCAGACTTCTGAACTAAAAAATAACCTAAAAAAATAACTCAAAAATTTATTATTGCGCTTAATAAGTGCAATAATTGTGTTTTAGATGCTGCTAATTACTATGTGCATTATTTAATATTTATATGCTGCTGTCATTCCTTTTAGTGTTATATTCTTTTAAATGAACGCTGTTGCAATTTTTATTATATCTACAGTATCTCACAGAAGTGAGTACACCCCTCAAATTTTTGTAAATATTTTATTATATCTTTTCATGTGACAACACTGAAGAAATGACACTTTGCTACAATGTAAAGTAGTGAGTGTACAGCTTGTATAACAGTGTAAATTTGCTGTCCCCTCAAAATA